GTAAATTATATTTTAAAAAAATTTTGAAAAAAAAATCTGTGAAAACTGTTATTTCTGTTTTCCAAAATTATTAAAAATGAATCCTGGAACAAAATTTTTATTTCAAAGTTGACGTAACTTATGACTTCTTATTATTAAACCATTCTTCAGCAAATAGCAATATTGGCTCGATAACTATCTCTAGCCCAAATGACCCAAGACCTACTAATTCTCTGTAAAAAAACTGCTACTGCATTTTTCTTCTGAACACTAAACCATCATCTTGCAGTATGAGACTCTAATATAACCTGAAAAACTGCTTTACATTCTAACATGTGCTGCATACAATACATTACTATGATTAGCATGTACTACATATTTCAGCCTGCACATAAGAGGCTGATTTACTAAGTTTACCCAGTATCAGGCTTGGGTGAATTCAGTATTGTGTTGGTTTGCCTGGCAGCTATGAACTCCAAACGAAAATACCCACCTCACTTCATTACATAGAATTGACACAACAAAGTAAGCAAATAAATCATATTTTAATAGCTTCTAACATAAATAGCAGTTTAAACTGCAGTCTAAACTGCAACAAAACACAGTAACTTCATAGTCAGTTCGCTTTCTAGATGCTCAATTGGTACAACAAGATGACATGCGGTAAATGGAAGCCTTTTATTCTTCTATCCCTCAAGAATTTGGATTCCAAAAATGACCAGTTTTTACAAAGCTTTGAATCTTGTTCATAATGGCATGTCTTCTAGCACATTCAACAGGCAAATAACCAGGATCACACCAGAAAAAGTAAAGAGCGGACCCACACCACACACAAATTAATGGAATATGAACCTCAAGTAAAGAGTGTTTTGGAACTCATGATAAACTACTGTCATAGCTCAACAGAAGGCTATTTCCTTCAGTTTTTTAGCAACCTGCATAAACACAAACATCTTTGGAATTACTTGTCTGCAAGTCTCACTCCCCAGCAGCTCCTTGTTTTGCCCTGTGCTACATTTGAAGCAAGAATGCAAGCTGAAGCTTCAGAAAGCCGATGTCAAAGACCTGACAACCCCAAGTTTGGTCCAGCAACATAAACATGGAAAATGCCTCTTCACTGAAGGGCTGCACTCAAAGCTACTCCTTTGCAGCTAATCCAGTAACTCTCCTCTTAGGAGATCTACACCTTCCCAGCTCATCACTTCGTGCAAAGTAATCTGTTCATGTTTAGTTTTCTTTAACAATTTGGATCCCAAACACAGTAAGGTGTGCCAAGACTACATGCCAGCCTGATTTATGAAACTACAGCTTGACAACCCCTTAACCACGCAAATTTGTCACTAAAAGACCAGCAGGCAAGATGACAAACTTTTCACAAGGCAACTCACTATATCAGAGCTGGCAATAAAACAGAATATGAGTAAACAATGGGTTTTAATTATAACCTTAAAGTCTAGCACTGGATGCAAGGGTCTATAAAAAGCAGAAGCTGGATTTACAGGTTCATTTGTAAAACAGCAAAGGTAGTTTCCCAATGCTTTTGTCAACATAATAAGAATTTCTCAGAAATTATCATACCTTGTTGTTGTGAGAAAATTTTTCACCCTGAGCTTCAGTATGAAAAATGTCTTAGAGCAAAGAACACAATTAATCTAAATACTGATGAGTACAGACATTATCTTGCAGGTTTAAGAAAAACTTGTTCCCTTTACTCATGATTTAAGATGTTATGACAACTATGTATCAGCAAACATCAGCAAACTTAAGGAGCACAGTAATGATTTAAAAATGAATGCAGCATTAAAACTGAGGTCCAGTAGCTAAGATAAAAGCTATCAGTCATTCTAAGTCTGGGCTTTGTCAAATCCAAAACATTCATGTTTTCATTTAGCAGTGTCATATCTGTATCGAACAATACTACAGTTATGCAGATAAGGGTAAAATGCTACTCATTAATTACTGTCTACTCTTAAATTTAAATGGTAATAAAGACAGTTGATACCATAAAGGATGCTTTCTTTATAAACCGCCCAAGCAAGGCCTATTGCTTTGTAATTATGGAGAGTCATTTAGTAGAACTGATTTACATCTAACTATATACTAATGATGTGTGCATTTGGCACCTTCTTTTTGTGCTTCTCACAGGTTCGTTGTCTAGGTAAGGAAAAAAAAAAAAAAAAGAAAAAAAAGAGAGACACCTTCCGGGCAAACGACACAATGACTCATTAAGCCCTTTTACCCTTTTAGCCACAAAGATGCTGTTAAACATTTATGTCACTTCTTCAGTAACATTTTCCACACCACTCTTTTTTCAGTGTAAAGCAGACATTTACCAGGGCTCTGGTTTGGTGCCACACGTACATGTGAACATCCTGCTTATCTTATCAGCTCAGAAATTGTTACTGACATCACAACAGCAGGTTTTTAAACACACAGGTTTAACAGTTTGTTCTGTTACTATTAACTCCCAATTTTAAAGTTAAAAAGATAAGCCACTTACTAGACTTTGAGAGTGCAAATGATTGTACATGAAGACAACATTGTAAAGTACCTCACATATCCCTGTAAATGTTAAATCAAAGTGTATTAGATACTGAATAAAAACTAATTTAACTGAATCATCAGACATTTATCTTCTCTAATTCAATTGTGTTTTGTGGTCCACTGCCGACAAACCTAGTTTTCCTGTATGTATTCAAATCAGAGACATAATGAAGCAAAATAGCCATAACTGATTTTAGTATCAGATTCTTTTTTCCATTTGCTTTATATTGCAGTCTTAGGTCTCTCATTTTCTTTACTCATATGCTTTTTCTACTCCCATAGTAGTCTGAGAAAAAGTCATACTCCAAAAGCAAAGATTTAACCTTATTAGCTTCAGGGAAAAGTTGTCTAGGCACATAATGGTCCTTCTTAGCAGATATTTTACTCTGGCTTGAAGTTGTGCTTGGTTTTCTGTATTCAGTGTTCACAAATGAATTAGTTAAGTGGAAATTAAACTTTTGCTGTCATCTGTTTGGATTCAAAGAAAGGCAGAAAAAAGGGCAGGGGTAAGGCATGAAACAGGTTCCTAAACCTCCTTCCCTCTTGCTTATTTTCTTTAAAATTATTTTTTTTTAAAGTGCACTGCTTTACTTAAATTTAGTTAAATCAGAAGCACTTCACGACAATTTTTCCTATCTATGGTTCACAACACACCTAACTTACTTTACTAACATATGCAAAACTGAAGATGTTATAACATGAAACAGTTAATTTCTCATGTGCTAAGATTTTATCCTATTAATATAAACTTAAGTACATGGTTGTGAGTAGGTATGTGAGAGGTGGGATAAGAGAAAGGGGACAGAAGGGGCAAGAGCCGGAACACACACACTCGAATCCTAAAGCAGCACGGTCTCCTTCAAGAAGTGAATGTTTCAATACTCTTCAACAATACCCTTCAAAAAGCTATTGTTTAAAAAATGTAAAAAAAAAAGTCAGATGAGAGGAAGTACAAAAAGTTTCCCTCCAGATACATTTTCAGTCACTAACTTTCAACACAACACAAAGTTGCAAAAGAGACCACAAAACTTCAAGTCAACCGTTCCAGCTATTGTATCAAAAGGAAAAACACCTGCAAATTGGACACAGTTCCATCATGTTGAGTTGGCAGTTTTTCTCCAACTTTAGCTCAACAGATCAGTCACCAGTGAAATTAAGCTTTCTGTCCCATAATTTTCTGTCATCCTTATAAAGTATGTGGACCACAGAAAGTTTCAAATGAGGAGGTCCAGCCTCCCGAACAGTTCCACTTGACTTTCAGTATATATCTTGACTGATAGGTTAGAATGCCATTAGACACTAAACAGTGAAGTAAACTCTCTGAACATAAACTGTCTGATATGCCTTTCTTACAATAAGGAAATCACCAAAGCCAGAGGGTCATGAATAATTCTATTATCCACAGTCCTGCTGACCAAAGAAAAAACTCCCAATATGCATTTTCCTTAGTGAAGTAATCCAACCAAACCACAGGAAAACTCCAATGTAAACTAAAACCCAAAGAAAACAAAAAAATCTTTTCCAAATCAGCATGCTGTGATTTCTATGCAAAGCCTCTGGTTTGAAGTTATTTCATTTAGAAGCACACCAGACATTTTATTTTAGAAGACTGTAAGAACATTCACCATCATTTTGAAGACTTCGCTTTCCCTTACCTAATGATTTTACACCTAGCATTACCCTAGAAGATATTTATTTCACACCTGAGAAGCACTTACAGAAGAGTAATGTTGTGTCTTTTGTGCATGTTCTTTTTCCTAAAAAATACTATGGGGTCATCAATGTCTTACTGCCCCTCTGTTTCCCAAGCAAACTCTGTGGGTCACAGCACCCCTCACCCAGTTAGGCTCCAGGTCTCTCTCCAGAGCTCTCCTTTTGTCTCTGGAGCAGGAACACCATTTGGAAAATGATGCCACCTCACTGCACAGTTTCTTTGCCTCTAAGGACACCCAACTCGATTATGATTTCATTGACTGGCATGATTCATAGCACTGGACAAGGAAGAAAAGTAAAATTGCTGATAACCTTTCCCAAAGAACAAGGCACAGAGATCTCCAGCAGTACTTAAACACAGCTCAGTGGGAACTCATGATGTTCCTCACGGAGCTAAGTCTATGGACACTTGAGATTATTTGAACAAAAATGTAAGCCAGAACACAAAGTATATAACATGATTCAGTGCTCAATAACAAAAATGAGGTGAATGGAAGAGAACTACATAAAATAACAGAAAAAAACTGCCACCAGGTCACTGAAGTAACTGCCAGAAAACTGCTGATCCATTTTAAAGGGCCAAGAGGATGAGTTACAGACTGTAAGAGAACCTGCAAATCCAGATGCAGCAATATGCTTATCTTTCCTTCTTCCATTTTTAAGTATGACGCACACTACCATCTGCTGGACAAAGTGCTGAACTAATCCAATAATACACAGGGTTTTTTTTTTTGTTGTGAGAACCCTTTTCCCATCGTGTTTACCTGAGGCAGAAGCAAAGCAACCTGGGATGTGTGGAGACCATATAGTGCTGTAAATGACCCCTTCATGGCCTTTAAAAGTGCGTAATGACTTCCCCACAGCTGGATCCCACTGAATAAAGTAAAAAGAAAACTGCTGAGGGACACATTCAAACAGGATTTTGTACATAAAAATGTTTTATACATACAGAAAGGACTAAATGAATTTCTTTTTACCATGTATGGCATGAAAAGCACTTGTATACTTAAAGTGATAGCAACTGAGGGATAAAGCAACATCTCAGTTAAAACAGAATTTCAGCCTCGGTGTAAATATAAGGGGAAAAGCGAATAAAGTGCTGTTTCTTAACACAAAGAACTATGAGATCCAAAACAAATCACATTTTCCACCTTCAGCAGAAAAAAACATACCAGCTTGGCTGTTTGATCCCATGAACCAGACACCACTAGCTGCTCTCCTCTAGTTTGGCTCCAGTCAACACTATATACCTATAAATAATATAACAGCCTAGTTTAGAAATTAGAGCATTAGAATGCGAGCTTGAAACTCTAGTTAGCCAAAGTTTCACAAAATAGACTTGGATTTGCAGATTGTATCATGATCAGCTAAAAGCCCACACCAGTCAAGCACCACAAAGCTGCCAACAATGCCATTTACCTGAACAAAAATGGAACTTAACATCTCAGTCTTGTATCAAAGGGACATAGAGGCTCAGAAAAGTATCAAAAAAAAAGTAAAGATGGGCCAAAATGGAAGAAAAAAAGAAGTCATAACAAAATCTACACAGACCCACCATCACTAGAAGTTTCTACCACTGTAAAAAGCCATAATTCAGACTGATTTCTTATCTCTGATCAAGTTTTGCTTTCAGTAGCTCACAATGTAAATGCCATCTCTTCAGAGATGACTACAGAGTTCACTTTGAGGTTTTAGCTAACTGACAATAATTGCTTTTTTATGGTGTCTAATTCTCCTAAGAAATACAGGCCATAAAATACTCCTGTCTTTCATCTTTTCTAGGTTCTATGACATTCCTCTTACCATTCACATCCTCAAATAAATAAGATAAAATTTAAAACTCATCTTCCCTCACAAGTAATCATTGCAGTTATTAAGAAATTGCTTTTCACTTTGTAGCTGAAGCTCCTTCTTCTCTGACAGTTTATTCTAACTTTGGTCCCTGCCTTGACAGACTACCCCCTAAGTCCAAAATAGCCTTTTGGCATAGTTTTACCTTTTGGTTCGTCTGCTTTTGTCAGCTAACTACCAGTACTACAGCTCATTACAAAACCCTCTCTTTCAACCTTACTCCTCCTATCAAAATAATAACAAGGGAGACACACAAGAACCTGTTCATATTTTGAGAATGGAAGACATGGGTTTTCCAAAGTGGCTCCTGAGCTCCTCATAAGCATTAGCCTCTCTCCTTCCCCCTGAATCTGCATGATGGTCAGTGTTCATCTCCTAAGGTGCTCCAGTTTGGAAATGCCCCTAGATGTAACACTAAATAGTGTGCCTCCTTCACACAACAGCCTCATAGCCAGCTCAGTTGAAGTGTTTGGCTCTCATTCATGCCCAAGATTCTCCAGAAAGAATTCAGTCTCTGAGAAATACGTACCTTGTGTCACAAAATTCACCTAGCCTGTATCAGATCTACTGCAGTGATAAGGCAGAGCAGACATTGGCTTACAGCTTGCTCACAAGCTACCAGCACGTGCACCTGCTGCAGACGAGCTGCGTCACGGGCCTGGGCGGGCGTGGCAGGCGTGGCTGGGACTGCCCAGCACCCTGCAGCTGCCTTGGGGGCAGCGGGGCCAGACAAATCCTCCTTCGGGCCAGAATTAAAAACAGAACAGACAACAGGCTCAGAAAAAGCAACAGATATTTTCCATTTGGCATGTGACAGGTCAGGCAAATGGGAAAAGTATAAAAAGAAGGTGGTGTGAAGAACCAAGGAAGGTTCACTTCTATTCTTTTCATGCTATCATCCAACACCAATTTACAGACACTTCAACAGAAGCTGTGTTGAGCAACTGGGAAATATTAGTAACACAGCATAAACCTCAGCTGATAATCTTTCAATGCTTCATCTTCAGTTCTAAAATACATTAATACTACTTTATGCCTAAACAGCAGCAAGAAATGCCTCAGAGCAAGATGAAAAGATGATGAAAAAAAAGACAAACATTTTAAAGTAGTTAAAAATGAATGATCAGGCTCACTTTACAAGCCAAAAATAATTCAAGCATTCTATTGTCTCACATTCCAGTGTGACCTCATCAAAACCAAAGTAAATCAGACTAATTTATTAATGAGATTCAGCATTTGGTTAGTGCTGGAATAAAACTCATTGTCCTTTGACAATAAAGACGTGCTTTTAAATTAAAAATGCACATTCTTTTTCAGTAGGGACAATGATCTCATTTAGAAACAGATCCCTGTCAATCTTCCATTAGAAATATTATAAAATACAGTGACAAAGTTATCATTAGAAGTGTCAGACAGGAATTAAGGGTTAGAAGGGTAGTTAATCATTTTAAAGAGCACTGTCTGCTCTATTAGGTATGTACCCTCTGAGGTCTATCCTCTGAATAAAGAATCAGTACAAACCTTTTGTATCTCACATTGAACACTGAGCCCATGTGTCCTATACTGTCTAACTCATGGTTGAACACATCCACCTCCCCAAGCTACCTGCTAAAACAAGACTTGGACACAGAAATGTTTACCTCACAAACAACAGATGGTGTAGCAGAACCAAAATAAACCTATGGATAGAATTTCAATGAGAAAACGACGGAGGGGAAAAAAAGGTATTACGCTTTGCCTACATCTTTCTACCATCAGCCTTTGAACGCTATCATAAAATCGTGATCACAACTACAAAATAAACACAAAATCCTTTATTTGCATAGGATATGTATTAAGCCGAAGTAGCAAAATTACAAATAAGGTACTGAAGATGGACTGTCATGTAACTGCAGTCACTCAGCTTCTAGCTTTGTGTTTCATATCTTGACCACATATCCACTAGGTTATTTTATTCAGATTTATGTCATTCAGATAAAATGTCAGTAACCCAGGCTAAAATTCACTGCATCTGAAGACTTGACAGAAGCAAGTGGGCAGTTAGAAGGAAAGCATGAAAAAAGGGTAGAAAAATCACTTGAAGGAAGATAAATATACTGAAGCATAGATGTCCTTAACAACATGCAAATACATTGATAAACGTGGATATAATGTTTTTATCTACCCCTATAGTACTGTGTAAAGAGACAGATTTTAAGAAATTCAAATGCAACAGCACCAAATCAAGGCTAAAATAAAAATATGTGCTGTCCCAATAGCGGCTTGCTGGTATTTGACTGGGATCTCACAGGTGCTAGGATGGAAAAGGATAAGCAGTTCCCATATACAACAGAAGTCCTAAGGATCTGTATAATGTAATGACATTATCCTCAAGGATAACACTGCTAAATATATCATCTGTTGGATTTTGACCTACCCAATAATGCTTTCTAAAAATCATGTAATGACTGCAGTACTTTCATCCAACACAATGATTACCTAGCATGTAAGAAATCACAAATGGTATTTCAGAATATATTAGACTTAAGTAATTAAGCATTACCTAGTACAGCACAAGAAAGTGTATACAAATATTTACAATATGTAATTCACTTTATATTCAACATAAAGTTGTTATAAATTCAAGCCACAGACCTTCACAAAGTTAAAAAAATAGACAACAAACCCACTTTTGATACAAGTCTACAAATAAATCTTAATAACTCAAACATTAGATTGTCCATTAAATTTTTCAAGTTTGCCTGGTTTACCTCCTGAGCATGCTCTTTATAGACTTGCAGTGGACCTTTGGTTTTAGCTGTATCCCACATTTGCAGAGATCCATCTCCACTAGAAGTGATCAACACATGTTCATTATTCTCACTCCAGGTGACATCAAACAGGCCATCATTCCAGTCAAAACTAAATCAGAACAATGAATATATTTGTCAGTGAGAAAGCATGACATAAAATTCTGGACTAGTTACACGCAAAGACAGTATTTCTTTAAATCTCCCTCTTTATCATTCTAAACAGCAGTTTTATATATTTGATTTCCAGTGAATCTTCTTACAGGTAACTTAATTGTTGCAATATCAACTTTTATAACCCTATTCCAGAACAGGCTGATTAAGTTGAAGCATAAATGAGCCAAGGACCTTCCACATACTGAAGTAAGCAATTAACACTCTTAGCTATAGTCAAGCCTTATGCTTATGTGCTTGACCCCCACAAATGTTAAATAGGTCACATAATGGTGTAGAACGTGTGATGAACAGCTACTCGTTTACGCACTAAGCCACATAAATTGTGCAAGGTGCAAGATAAAGGGCTTGTGTATTGTCAAAGCCCCTGCAAACTGTGTGATGAATGCTGAACTCAGAGACAGGAGGGACTGAAACTTCTGAAACCTCTTGATAAGATGGGCACCTTTCAAGGTTGATAGGAAGCATTTGGTTACAACAGCTTGTTCTTGCAAAAACAATGGACACTGCACATGCTCTCAGAACAAAGGTAAAAAAGTTCAACCCTGAGGAAGACTCAGAGCCTTCATCCTGAAGACCCCGGCCCATGCCCGCCAGGAAGGAACGCACACGCACGAGTGGGTTGACACTTACGATAATGAGTTTCTGGAAACAGTTAGAATGTTCCCACCTATTCTTGTGAAACCTAACGAATATGCATGATTTTACCCCATATAATCCTCGTTGTCTGTTCCCTCAGGGTGCAAGTTTGGAGGAGCAATCCCCCTTGCACCCAGCGCCGTAATCCATAATAAACCTACCTGCTTTATAACCCTCCCAGAGTTATAAAGTTTGTTTCTGCACATCAATACAGAGAGTGAAATCAAATTTTAGTCTTAAACTTGCCAGACAGAGAAAGAGGTACCACATGTCTCAGTCTGATCTATGGTTTCTCCAGGTTGTTGCTACAGAGGTAGAAGCCCTCTGTCTGTAATAACTGAGGCAAACAAAGACAAAACTGTTGGGAGAGCCCTATCCAATTCACAGCACCGTTAGGAAGCTGAATCACAACGAAAAACCAACAGAGAGTGATGAACATATTCAAGACCTCTACACTCCCTTAAAAAGGCTTTCAACACACTAATAATTCATGATGTGGGAACTGATACCATATATTAGTTGTTCTGCAAGAGCTATTAATGACCATGCTGTTATCTAATGGCAAATATTAATTTATTACCCCATTTTCACTGAAGGTTCAGTTAAGCTCAGGTTAAGCTTCATGGCAGTAACGAGGAGGGAAAGGGGCACACGCAGAGAATGTTTTGATTGAGAAAATAACATAGCTTATGGCTCAGGAAGTTACAGGACCTTCCACTACAAGGTAATTGGAGTGGAAACATAGAAATGAACAGCTCTAAACCAGAGCGCTCAACAGAACTTAGGGCGTTGAACAGTTTGGAAAAGTCTTGCTTTATAATTATGAATTAAAAGTTTCTCTATGATTAACTATTTGTTAAGCATTTCTACTTCAGCCCTCTTAACTAAACAATTGCTGTTTCAAAACTTAAACAAATTTTTGGTCAATGGTAATATTAAAACCCCTCCTTCTTACTCTTTCTCCTCCTCCCATCCAGAACGCAAATCAAACTCCTCTCACCCTTAGACTACTGGATCTCCTAGGAAGGACCTGCATGACTTTACACAGCTTCCTGCTCTACTTTCAGTACACGTCAATCATAATGGCATAAATTTAGGTGGCAACACACTGTTGCTAAAAAGCTAAAACTTTCAATTTCAAGCTAGGGCAGAGAGGCTGCTTTTAATATACATTGTCAGTTTTCTATAAAATTATTTACACTACAGGAAGGGTGCAACCCAGAGTACTTCCCATAACAAAATCTGTGCAATGTAAACCTATGACTTGTATGTAAAGGCAAAGAGATGTTCAGTAGGCACAGTAAGCTTTTCTCTTTAAAAAATAAAACATAAGCCTATGTTACCTCTTGAGCAGAACAATCCCAGCTTCAGTCTGTTCCAGCACTGCCAGAGTTCCACAACCTAAACCAGCAAAATAAAACAAAACATCACAACTAGTTGCCCCATGTCAAAGGAAACTACTGTGGTTCTGAGCTAGCTCCAGCGTGCAAATGCAAAGGGTATCTGAACTCTGAAAGGCCAAACAACTAGTTGCATAAATAAACATCTTGTTATCTCATACTCTGTAAAAAAGTACTTTATTTACATCAGATTTTTTTTTTTGGTGGCAGGTTTTGGTTTTGTTTTTTTGTTTTTTTGTTTTTTTTTTTTACTCCAGTATACCTGTAGGTGAAGTTAGAAAAGAAACAACTCACTTATACAGGTGCCTTTTCCCCATGAGCCTCACGTTACAGAGATACCAACACAGTGTTCCTTCCTATCTTTTTGACAATAACATTTTTTTTTTGTCCCCTGAATCTAGTCACACAAACACAGCTCATCGTAACTGAAACAAGTAATTCAGTTTTGAGAAAATTTACATAGGTACTACTTTCTCATAGGACTGGGACACTGAAAAAAGTAATTCCACATTTAGAAAGCTTGTTTAAAATGAATGCTTTCAGGAGCAAAACTCCCACTGGCAAAAGCCCCAGAGCAGAGCTGAGAAAAGCCGAGCGTGGCTCTTCAGCAAGACCATGCAGTTACCACGGCCTGTCCAGATGCTCAGCCCTGGAGAGCAGAATCAGTTAAAACTGTATTGGAAAATTATTTTCCAGCATCTCATTCCCACTGTGCGAACCTCGAAGCTATGAAATCGGTGCTGCTCTGAGAGGCTCTTGTGAAAAGCCCCACCAGAGCAGCGCGGTGTGCGGCGGGGACACGGACCCCGGCCCGGCCATCGAGACCACGCGCTGCGCCACGGCAACACAAAGCGGAGGGGAAAGGGAGCTCCCCAAACGCTCTCAGACACCGGCCGTCGTTGCAGA